TAAGCTATATTGACATAGTAAAGAATGTGCCAGTTTTGGCAACACAGAAAGGCTAAATGAAAAAAGCATTTGAATGTAAATCAGTAAACTACGCTGCTGGTTCTAACCAAACAGTAATCCTAAGCAGATCATCCTAACTCTTCGTTCGGGTGTTAATTTCTAGCTTGTAAAATAAAAGACTACGTTAGGAGGATTTTAAAGATACCAATCTTCCATCTCTAACATTCCATGATTCTGTCACTTAGAATTTGAGAACAGAGGAGAAATTGAGATTCAATCAAAGCCTACAATAGGTGTCAGAATAAAGAATAATTTTGACTAAGTCTAGGGGAAAAAACATGTCATGAAAGGAAAAAGAGAAGAAACTCAAAACTGAATATGACAGTTTTAATTTAGATGGCATACTCTATTAATAGAATTAAGTTAACGAGTATGCGGTTTCACTTCTGGTTAATGTAGTTACTAACAAAAGGAGAATTTTGACTCTGGTTGTTGAGAAACAAGGGGAAATGGACTTTGAGTAAAAATACAGCAATTCTAGAAAGGACAGAACTAAATAGAATCCCTGTTAAATGTTGGTGACTCCAAGGCCATCACTGTGTCAAAATCTTAGCTACAGAGAAATAATATTTACATTGATAAATACAAAAAGAACTGCCAGAGAATACAGTAAGTGACTTTTAAAGTCCACAGAAAAGATGGTTAAAATGGAAGGTAATATTATGAAACACTTACTAGGTTGGAAATTTGGTCCAGTACACTTTATCTTCACTATCTCAATCCTCAAACTGACACTACCATTACAGGCACCTTATGGATGGGGAATCTGAGGCTTTCATTTAAGTAATCTGCCCAAGGTCACTCAGCTATTAAGTGTCAAAGCCGTAATTTGAACCTGGGCTATCTGACTTCACACTGTACTGAGTACCCATTTAATCCAATCCCTTCACTCAAAAGGAAACTGAGGTCCACAGAAATAAAGTCACATAACTGGCTAGGAGCAATTTTAACAGTTATTTTGTGATTTGGTCTGCTAATATTTAATATATTCTTATACCTTGCTAATTACAACTGCCACCTAGCTGAAGGTTTAATTTTTATTTGTAAAATAATATTTAGTATCTTTTAAAGTATTATTTGTATATGCTTGTAATTCAGTTTTGGATGGGCTGATACTCCTCAGTTATTGTTACTCAATCATCTTGATCCTATGAAATCAGAGAAGAATGAGAATATACTTTTAAATAGCTTTTAAGTGTACTTATAAACTACCACAATAAAAATTAATAGTCTTACGATAAAATACAGAAAAATTTAAGTTGGGTCATCAATTAATCACACTTATTATTTGCTATTAATTAATATACAAATGGGAAAAATAGTCTCATTTGATGTTCAGGATAAGCTAACTACTGGTATGCAGCATAGAGTGATACATTTTTCATAAAGTGTTCAAGGGAAGAGAAAACGCAAAGGACCGGAGTGGCTTTTTAAAAAGCAGCTTCAATGAACTGAGATATCAGACTAACAATAACATTCAAATTTAACTATTTTTTCATATGTATTCCTTTATTTCTCCTAACCTCCAAATAAAAGAAAAAAAGGCTGAAAAAAATTATGTTTGCATATATGCATACAAGTGCTTGGGGGCAGTGGTCTTAAAGGGGTAAACAAATGAGCCATGAGAAAAATGAGTACTTGCAGCCTAAATCCCGCCAGACATTATAATCCATCACTGATCCCTAAAGGGCACCAATAATATGCAAATGTGAGAATTAGAAAACACATTCAAGGCTGTTGATAAACTTGATAGGATAATCAGCACATGCTGACAGGTTAATGAAACTGATGAACTGATAGCGCAGCTTATCTCCGGGGCCATTTTTTCCCCCTTGTCAAATGGAGGCTAATCAAAATGTACTAGGAGTTAAAGCAAACACTCAGAGGATTTCACCCATTTGATTAGGAGGTGAACTCACCCTCAGAGAAAATTATAGTTTTCATGAACAACTGAAATGACAAAACCTGGTCAGCTGACAGACCTTCACATAAAATTAAACAGAAGGCAGTCACCATAATTATGGGAGAAATCTGGAATTGTAAATTACATTGGGATTCTCCCCTCACAAACTGTCAGAGTGCTTTTCAGAGTCTGGGCAAAGCGACTCCCTCCTTCTATAATGGAAAATAAGACAAAGGACTCAGCACTAATAACCTAGGGACACATTTACCTCTTGCCGCCTGTATAGGCTGAGCGTCTGTGTAACCATATGAGACACAGATCCCAAGGCACCAGCTGAATTTTCAATCGAATTTATTTACATAAAATAATTGAATGAATTTTCTGAAATCATTAACTATCGTGAATACCACATTTCCTATTAACAATAAAGATGCCATATGCAGTCTGCTGCCAAGGATCTGAGTCCTTTCCTAATTTAAAAAAAAAGATATTTTATTTGATAATTGTGGAAAATTGAGAAAAAGTCCTTCCCAAGTATTAACATAAAAAATAAAATTATAAACGAAAACCACTGTGCCTCCTTAGACAAAAATTAAGAGAAAACAATTCCTTCAATATTCATTTTGACATGAAAAACCATTAACCCAGAAAAGTTAATTCAATGGATAAATCCACATACTCGAGGCACTCGCTTTATCAACATGTATATTTCACCTGGGTGGACAGACTGATGGTAAAATGTTAGACAGTAAAAGGGGCTGTTTTAATTCATAAGACTTTAAGGGCAAAAGTACATTTAGGAAAGCTAGATTTTACCCTTTAGAAATTATACCAAAGAGAAAAGGAAACAGCAACTAAAAGTACTCCAGGGTCCTCTTTAACATAAGCATTAAATCACTTCTCTGCCGCCCAGGCTAACTGGCGGCGGGATTCCCAGCGACAAGCAGTGAATCTATGAACCTCTTCCAGGTTTTTTGTTTCTTTTCCCCCCTATTTACTGACTGGTGCCTCACTCTTTTTAAACTATTTCTAAATTTTCTCTCTTTTAGGAAAAAGAGAAAATGAGTGTACTTGCTAGGCGTATATTTTCCAGTTTGGGAGGATCTGGGATTTTCTGTGTGTACTCGAAAGCTATACAGCTACTATCAAATTTCTCAAATCACTGAACACAGAAGCAGAAAATAATCCTAGAGATCTTGTAGTCACATTTAGTTTATATGCATAAGGGAGGCCTAGAAATATTAAACAACTTCACCAAGTTTAATGAAAGTGTAAGGAAAATCTGAGTTTGCACTTTGTGTTTTGGTGAAAAAGAAATATTTGAGGACAAAACAACCCTTTCTCTTCTCTCTCTTATCAGGAAACAGCAAAATTAATCATCAGCAGAACAGGTTAAACTTTAGGGATTCTTTTCAAGAGTCACATACTGAATAGGCAGTTTTCAGTGGTGTCATCATCAATTAGCTGTCGTAACAATTTATTAAAAGGCAATCACAGATCAATTGCAGTGTGAAGAAAAACCGGGCTGGTCTGACAAGATAACTCATAAGTCTAGGAATGTGAAGGAGAGGCTGGGCTGGTCTAACAAGATAACTCACAAGTCTAAGTATTGGAATACTGATCTGAGTTCTGCTAGACTAACTTGTAAATCTAGGTTAATTAGCGTTGGTTTGCTGTTCATGTTTTTTGCTAGCCAGCTGGGTTTTCAAAGATACATATCTGGCTTTGGAATGTTGGTTTGCTGCCTCCCTGCCTCCACTTTTGTGATGATGCTGCTGCTAAAGCTGTTCCATGCCTACTGGCCGAATACCCCAAGTTGTACTTTACCCTATAAAACCTCATGCACACGTCTTGGAGGTGCTCAGAGCTTCGGAGCAGAAGCCCCTCTGAGCCCGCCAGCGTAATACATCTGAGTACTCCAACCCTCCGAGTGGTGCTTGTTTCTTGACTGGCCTGTCGTTTCCGTAACAGCAGGGGATGGGTAGATTATTCTGCTAGGAATTCTAATTCTTGACCCCTTGTACCTAGAAAAATCCATACACTACCTTACATATTTTCTGACAAATAAGAGAATTAAGCGAATTTTTCCACATAGAAAAGGGAATAATCATAGTAGAATATGTACATTCTTCACAGTATTATTTTTACTCTAAAATAATACTCTGAAAAAAGCCTCTGGCGATCCAAGTCTTTACCAAGGAAAACCATACAGTTGGCTCAGTTAATCTCATCTTTAATAAGCATCAGAAATCATATATCTCAGAACATCAGCTATATATGGAATCTTAAAAAAAATGATACAAACGAATTTATTTACAAACCGGAAACAGATTTACAGACATAGAAAACAAACTATGGTTACCAAAGGGAAAGGGGCGGCAAGGAGGGATAAATTAGAAGTTTGGGATTAACATACACACACTATTATATATAAAATAGATAAACAAGGAACTACCGTATAGCACGGGGAACTATATTCAGTATCTTGTAATAACATATAATGGAAAAGCAGCTAAAAAGGAATATATTTGTATATGTATAACTGAATCACTTTGCTGTACACCTGAAACTAACACAAAACTGTAAATCAACTATACTTCAATAAAAATAAATTTTAATGAATCTCTACATCATAGCATAGCCACTTTTAGGAATATTCTGATTAAGGAAATAGCATAATCAAAAATTATTGTGCATTTGATGAATTCATTAAAATCTATGTCTTTTTTATTCATCATTTTCAATCTCTAGAGTTTAGCTAATACTAAATACCCACATGGGTTTATGAACCCCTCAGCAACAACTCTGGGACCTGACCAATCTGTTGAGAATCCCTATGTTAACACGTTTATTAGCATCAGAATAAGGGTGCTTTGTGAAAATTCAAATGTGACACCCAACTGTGAACAGGGTTTTGTTTTTTTTTAAGTGACGCTTAACAATATGATTTATTAGAATTACATTTAACAGAAGCACTGGTTTTAATTTCTCCACAGGTCCCCGAAACTATCATTTAAAATATGACTGCTTTACTTACCCATCATGTTGTACAAGCTTTGGGGGGCAAACTGCCTTGGCATTTTCTGAATTGCTTCCTTGTACACACTCAGAGCATCCTAATTTAAGAAACAGAAAAAGAGTACAGGGATTTTCGCTGGAAATAAAATAATAACATCCTTGCAAAATTAAACTCTCCCATTGCTCTTTCTCAGTGGTTCATTTAGAGTAAAATAACTGAGCTGTCCTCTGATACCCTATTACCTCAATTTCATGAATAAAAATATTCAACCCGATCAGTGAAGAAGGTCATATAAAATTAGTTTAACAAGGAGTCGAATGCTACCAATGCTCTTTTCCTTTGCTATAAATTTTTCAGTTCACACAGATTATGGAATAAAAATAACTAGAAAAATTCACCCAGAGTCATTTAAATTCATAGTTACTTCAAATCAGGCAATCAAAGAGGATCTAAATAAAATATCAGCTAACCCCTCGTCTAGCTACTGAGACCGACTGAGATTATTAAATGCAATTATTTTTAAAGTAGTATCTTTATCTTTATATTGCAGTCTTGATACATTGTGTAAGAGTAAAAGGGCGTGTGGTCTGAGAGAGGCAGCAGAGGAATGAGAGAAGAAACCCATGAACGTGCAGGCAGAATTAGCGGGAGAGAGGGTGGGTGGGACTGGGCAAAACACACAACTTCCTGTACATGAGCCTATCCCCATCACTTTTTCTCTCTTCCCAATTAAAAAAAAACAATAAAATTACTTTTCATTGCAATAGGATTTTAAAAAGAATTAAAGGGGTAGGATTCAACATCAAATCACTTTCTTAATAGAGTACAAAAATGTATTTTTTAACATCAAACAACAGATATAGGTAACAATAAGAATGTGTCTTGAAATGTGTCATAAAAAAAAGAAATCAAGGAGACAGTAAGCTAATAAGCTTGAGAAGCAATGCATGTTATTTCCCTTTCAGAAGGAGTCGCAATTACTCTGATGAATTCATAGTAAAGATCTGTTAAGTTTTGTTTAGCAGAATTCTTCAAAAGAATGGCACCATGAAACTCTTTTAATGAAAACATCGATTAGCTTCTTAAAGGATCATAGTGTCCCTACAATGAGATCATAGGTAGGAAACATTGAGATGGGATCAGAGCAATGGGAAGGAATAGGGCAGAGAGAGAGGTTTCAGCCTAACCTCATAGTGTCCCTGCTCATGGTAGAGCTTCCCCAGGTTGTAAAGACAGCTGGTCACCGAGCTCTTATGCGCATGCGGGTCCTTCAGGTTTTCGTCTGGGATTTCAGAACACTTTAGGAATGTGCGTCGGGCTTCTTCTGTCTTTCCTTGGTTCATAAGAATAATTCCGGTGTTTAAATATGCAGCTGAGGGGGAAAAGTGGAAATATTGGTGTAAGAAGATGATGTCCACTGTAGAAACAATAAAGCTCTCTTTACTTCAATTTAGTTTCTATGTATGACTTCTGATTTTAAAAGAAAACCAAGAAATAAATACCTCAGGAACAAATATACAAAAGAACAACAATATAGCAAAAAGTAGAGGTGTTACTGAAAAATACATGTTTTAGTCTCTGCCTTGAAGGAGCTCAGAACACCATGAGCTTAAAATTTAGATGAACAAGTTGTATTTATTTTAGTATCTTAGAATGGTAAACAGATGTCAAAACATTAAAATTGAGAGAGATGTCATTGTTAAGGGCTCATAATTTGATCAGCAAGTGTTCAGAAACAGAAATACCATGTTTTTTAATCTGTGAGGTTGTAGGTCACCATTTTTACGGAGAAAGAAAGAGATATTTTAAAACGATTTGACTATTACTTACAAGCCAGGGTAGGCCTGCTCCCGATCGCCAATTTGTAATAATGCAGTGCTTCTGCAAACCTGCTGTTCTCCTGCAGGAGTAACCCTCTGCATGAGGAAAATAGAAATTTGGAGACAGGACTGTATTACTAGACATAAAACCACAGATTTTTATTTTATATTTCAAAAATAAAAATGGTTAGCAGGGCCATAAAAATGACCTAGTACTATAAAAATAAATTCTAAATAGAAGGAAATGATTCCTCAGGAGAGAAAATACCAGAGAGGTATCAGTTGCATTTACGTTGCATTAGAAAGTATTAAAAAGTATTTTCAAAAAGCCCTTTACTTCCCCCACTGAACTTTCCCCTTTCCAGAAGTCTTTTCCCTCCCACTAGAATTACACACCACCTGGATTTCTCCTTGGAACACACACAGTTTTTCATCATTTCAGAAAGGAAACTTGTCTAAGGCTGTGAGATATATATACATATACATATATATATATAAAATTAACATGAGATGCCTCTCTTACTAGCCATATGGCTTGAGAAATACTGGCCCATGACTGCCCAAAAGGCAAAAGGCAATCTGAGTCAGTAAAATAAAGAGAGACAGAATCTAATCAGATGACATCAGGGAACAAAGACGGAAAATCATCCATATTATTTCCTTATTAGTTGGATTTGGTCAAATAAGCTTTGAATTTCAGAACACTGGGCAAATTTCAGTTCACTGTTTTGAGATACGCTTTTGTCTACGAACCCTCAGACTCCACGGGCCTCTCCAGGAGGTTCCTTTGGCAGTGAGGGACCATGTGGATTATTCCAGCATTTCCAAGCCCTGCCCTCCTGACCTCAATGAGAATTATAATCATAGCTATGAAAATGCAGTGTCAAGAAATTGGACTAAGTTCCAAAAGCAATCATGGAGGGCTTTCTGGTCTATCACTATTCTCTTACAATCAGCACATGTCTTTCAGACGTTTGGCACCTCTCTTGGGCCTGAGGACTGCTGTCATCAACCTCAAATTGCAAATTCCACTTGCCAGCTTCCAAGGCCTTCGAGAGGCTGGTAAAATGCAGGTTTGTGAAATGAGAAGGCTATGGGCAAAAACTTGTCATTCTGTAGAGTATTTTAAAAATACTCAGCTTATTATTTAATGGGCATGATTGAAAAATAATGAAGTAAATCATTTGTAAATTAAAGTTTGCTCACTTGTGTCATTAGCACATATTCACCTCATTATTCCTAATATTTGTTAAAAGAGCCATTTGAACAGATGAAACCATTCCAAAACTCATGAACACTAGCATGTATACAGAAATGTACATGTCTATAAGCATTTCTGAGCAACAATTTGATTAGGAAATTGATATGCTTCACTATTAAATGCACTTTTCAGTTGCTGGGAACAAGGGAGAATGAAGGTTCCTGCAGTATTCAAGAGCATGTGAATTTTTTTTTAATTGCAGTTTACAATGTTGTGTCAATTTCTGGTGTACAGCATAATGTTTCAGTCATACATGTACATACATATATTCATTTCCATATTCTTTTTCATTATAGGTTACTACAAGACATTGAATATAGTTCCCTGTGCTATACAGAAAAATCTTGTTTATCTATTTTATATATAGTAGTTAGTATCTGAAAATCTCAAACTCCCACTTTATCCCTCCCCTCCTATCCTCCCTGGTAACCATAAGTTTGTTTTCTATGCCTGTGAGTCTATTTTTGTTTTATAAATAAGTTCATTTGTGCCTTTTTTTTTTAGATTCTACACAGAGTGATAATCACGTGGCATTCTTTTCCTTTCTGGCTTACTTCACTTAGAATGATGATCTCCAGGTCCATCTGTGTTGCTGCAAATGGCATTATTTTATTCTTTTTATGGCTGAGTAGTATTCCATCATATAAATATACCACAGCGTCTTTATCCAGTCATCTGTTGATGGACATTTAGGTTGTTTCCATGCCTTGGCTATTGTATATAGTGCTGCTATGAACATTGGGATGCATGTGTCTTTTCAAAATACGGTTCCCTCTGGAGGGAATTCTAATTCGTAAAGATACAACTGTCTTTAAAAGCAAGTAAAACTGATAAAGAGAATACTCACACACTTTACAAATAAGGAATAATATGCTTTATAAAAATAATTTTGACAAAATGCTCTCTAGTGACCTAAGCTCATATACATCATCTCATTTCAGAAACTTATCTACAACCTTAATTGTCTTTATCACGTTCCTGTGTACATACGTCCAATGACTCAAATCTCATTTGCCCCTAAATCTAGTTTAGGCTCTTTCTTGAAATTCTGCTGAAATGTTATCATCAAATTTCCTCTAATTATCAAAACCCCCAAATAGTACGAACCACCCAATCAACTGTAGCACTTCTGACTGTTAAACCCGTCTTCCTTCCTGAAACTACATTTCCTCCGCTTCTGGGGAAACAAGTCTCCCCTAGTTCTCTATCCCTGGGACCATATTTCAGAGAATGAAGAAAAGTGTGTATATTCCTTTAAAAGAAGCTGGCGTCTCACAGGACTTTGTCTTTTTCTCCTTTTCTTGGTAAATACTGTCCCCACAAGACAGCACACGTACCTGCTGCTCATATGTTGACTGTTGTCAATTCTCAAATAGCAATTTCTCTCCTGACATCCAGATCTGTTGAAAATTCAGCAGCTTACCGAGCCCCTTCAATCTAGGGGCTCACTGGCATTTCAAAATCAACCCATCCAAAAATTGAAAACAGTATCTCCCACTGCAATTCTTCTTTTCCCTCAACAGAGGCACTGAGGATAGAACCCAGGACCTCGTGCAGGCCAAGCACGTGCTCCACCACTGAGCTACACCCCACCCTCCTCCCACTCAAAATTAACTAAAGAGATACATGAAATAGATTTTAAAAAGTCTCTTCAGGCATCAGAGGAGAAAAATCAGAAACCTGGTGATCACTCTTGACTTCTCACTTATCCCCACCATTCTAGGTTTAAAAAAGTCTTGAAAGCCTACCAGCTCTTATCTTCTAAGGCTCTTTACTCTGCCCCTCAAGGTTCACTTTTATGGCCCTTTTTATCTTTTCTGCCACCTAAATAACAGCAATAGCCCACTAATTAGTCTCGCATAATTACATTTCTAAAGGGCAATATGCTGCTAGGCCAGGCAGAAAGGACAGGACATGAGCACGAATCTTTGACAGTATGCCTAAAGACCAAAAACCTTGAAAATGATGTATTCAGCCTCACGGGCTCCCCAGTGCTGATGTATTACAGTTCCATCATTCTCCAACTCATAAAATATAGCATGGGAGCCACACCTCGACAGTCCGGTCCAGCCCGCCCCATTCTTTGGAAGAAATAAGTCACACTGAGGGATGCAGCAGCCAAGTCTCCAGGATTATTTATCAAGTGGCCCTTTGAGTTAGAGACCATCATCTTCTGCCTGTATCATCTGAATAAAGTTAGCAATGCAGTGAGTCCAAGTTAGATGGCTATTGTGACTGATTTCTCATGGCTAACGGTTTAATTGAGCATCAACTATGCCCTAGTATGCATGCAGCAATAGGAACCAGACAAATGCACTCGCCTGTGGATACACAATCTATTGAGAAAGACAAATAAGAAAATAAATGGTGCAGAAAATTACTATGACAGAGGACAGAGGAGCAACACCACTCCAGCTCAGAAATGGATGAGGGGAGGTTCAGAGTCCAAGTGACATTGGCAGAGGCTTGAAGGTAAGGAGCAGTTAGCCAGCAGTAAAAAGTGTCATCATCACTCTAAGGTTTCAGGAAGAAAGAGTGATCCACAGAGAATTCACCGACTAACTCTAGGTTTTATGGTTAATAAGAGGCAAAGCCAGGACTGGAACACAGTTTCTCTGATACTAAATTCCATGCTCTTTCTAAAAGGAAAAAAAAAAAAGAGAGAGAGAAAGAGAAGATAATTCAATTCTAGATACATGTACACTAGGCTACATTTCCTTTGGTCTCAAACTCTCCAGATTTCATATAACATAAACTTGAACTGATACTCTGAAAAGGAATGAAACGTCATTTTGGCAGTTCAGGATGAACTGGGGTCAATTCTGGTGCTGTAACAATGAAGCTTCTCTTACTGCTGTTTTCCACATTTATAGAATTCATTCTTCATTTTACTGAAGATTTGATAGAGGGATAGAAACCCTTCACATCATAATAGTTATGGTGATGATGATAATGATGATGATGACGGTAGCTAAATGTATTTGACACTTACAATGTTACGTATATTACCTTACACTTACACATACTAACTTAATTTGTACTTATCAATAATCTTATGAAATAGGTGATTATTACTAGCCCCGTTTTACGGATAATGAACCTGGGGCAAGAAAAAGTTCAGTAACATACCAAAGGGCACACAACTAGCACGAATTGTGCTACAATTCAAGCCCAGAAGTCCAAGTACAAAGGAGGAGCTGTATTTTAATAAAGCCTTCACAGAAAAGCCTTTTCCACAGCTGTTTAAAATTGATGACATAATTTGTTTACATGCTGATCATATCAACAACATTTCTGGTTTCTATGTATGTTAAAAACAAAAACACATTTTAATATACTCTCAAGCCAGAATCTAATGAGAAAAAAATTGTATTCATATTATGCGAAGTTGCTTTACAATAAGGAAACTGACCCATAATATACACTGATGTGAAGTTAAAGTGTCTTTTGGGGGAGAAATTTAAAAAAATGCTACTGATCTCTAAATAACAAGCAGCAGGATTACTTTTATACGTCTGTGTGTACTTGGCTATATGATAGTATTTTTAATAGAAAAAAATATTTTACTTCTCATATTTCTCCTTCAGTGATTTATCTTTCAGAAACACAGTCACTGAAATTAAGCAGCCAATGAAGAAGGATATAAATTGGGGAAACAAAGCATAAATACTTGTCATAGTCAAAGGAAGACAACACATCTGGATATACAAAGTACTGTTCACTCAAATTTAAATTCTAGGAGACCACTTTACTTCAAGAAAGAAACAATAAAATTCTCTCCTTCAAATCCTTTCTGCTTTTTTTTTTTCACATGAGTTTGATCACACATTCTAGG